AGCCCCGGCCCGGGCACACCGCCCCGCGCACCTCGTACTCGCGGATGTTGTTGGAGGTGACGAAGATGCCGATGCCGATGGGGATGAAGATGAGGCCGATGATGAAGAAGGCCGGCAGCACCGTGCCCGCCGTCAGGATGGGCTGCCAAGCCGGCAACCGCTGCTGCTTGAACGCGGTGTTGTCGGGCTTGCGGGTCTTCACGGCACCCCCGCCGCTGCCGCCCACCGCGCCGCCGCCCGGCACACCGACGCCGCCCGAGGGGTGCCCGTCCACCTCCTCCTTGGCGCTGTAGTTCACCGCCATGGCGCCGCCGCCGCCGCCGCGCAACACGTGACCAGGGGCACCGCGCCTGCGCACTCGGCCGCGGCGGCTGAGGGAGGGGGCGCGCCGGGCGCGCGGGTGGTGACGCGGCACGGCCGCGCGCCTGCCCAAATCATGGAGTCAGTCATAGTCAGTCATGGAGTCGTGGAATCGTCAACATTGGAAGAGACACGCAAAATCATCCAGTCTGACCATCCACCCGGCACTGCCACTGTGACCCCATAACCACTAAATTACGTCACCCAGTGCCAGATCCAGTCGCCTCTTGAGCACCTCCAGGGATGGTGACTACCACCTTCTTGGGCAACCTATTCCAACACCTGCCCACCCGAACAGTGATTTTTTTTCTTATATCTAATTAGAATCTCCCTTGTCTCAGCTAAGGCCATTTCCTCTTGTCCTCACTGCAGGCACGGAAGAACAGAGCACTCCCCACCTCACCTCTCTCTTCTCATAGAGTTGTACTGAGAATGATGTCCCCTCCCAAAGCCTCCTTTTCTTCAGGCCAAACACCCCCAGGTTCTCAGCTGCTCCTCATAGGGTATATTCTATGTGCTGGCCAGGCAGCTCTGCTGCACTTAGGGCCGGGGTCTTACCACCCTGTGCCTGGGGTTGAGGTAAGACCTGGGCCCACAGCCTTGTCATCTCCGCTCAGTGCTCCAGGATGGTCTCCCTGCCCTTCATCCTCCCTGTTGGCATGAGGGGCAGTGCTGACCCAAGGCACCATCCTTTGGGTCAAAAACTGAAAAGTCAGCTTCAGCTTCCTGCCCTCATAAATAGGATCAGTGCCACTGTAGAGATGTAATAATGCACAAGAGTTTCGAGAGCTTCTCTTAATGGAGCCTTGTGTGCCAACCACCACTTTTGGGAGCTGTTTTGCTCTGCACTCCTGCTCTGCTGTCAGGAGGCGTGAGTGAATCGGTGCAGTGAATACAGAATCACAGAGTGGGTAAGACTGAAAGACACCACAGCAGGTCGTCTAGTCCAACCCCCTGCTCAGGATCATCCCAGAGCACATGGCACAGGACTGTATCCAGACAGTTTTTGAACATCTCCAGTCAGGGGGACTGTGCAGACTTTCTGAGAAATCTGTTCTAGTCCTCAGTCATCCACACACTACAGCTCTTCCTCATATTCAGGTGGAACTTCCTGCACATCAATTTCTGCCTGGTGCCTCTTGTTCTGTTGCTTGGCACCACTGAGAAGAGTGTGGCTCCCTCTGACTTGACACCCACCCTTTAGATATTTATACATAGGGATGTTGTTGTTTTCCCCTAGGAGCTAATCTGACTGCCCTAAATAGAATCACAGAATCAGTTAGGCTGGGAAAGACCTCTGAGGTCAGAGTCCAGCCTTTGACTAAACACCACCATGCCAACTACACCATGGCACTGGGTACCATTTACAGTCTTTTCTTAAGCACCTCCAGGAATGAGGACTCCGCCCCCACCCAGGGCCACCGGTTCCAGTGGTTAACACCCTTCCTGTGGAGGAGCAATCAGCGCGTGGAACACAGAGTGGAAGTCTGTACTTGTGTTAGCAGGCACTGCTCAAGCTAATGCAACATTGAAAGTCAGTATTTCTTACTTCATTGGCACTTCTGCGTTAAAGTCTATTTTGTGAGGAACTCTCTAGTCCTTCCTATGCAGTCGCTCTAAATCCACATTCAGTAAGTATTTATGTATTTACTTGATTTCAAGGAAAAAAGTAATTAGAACTTTTTAATTAAATAACTTTATATTCATGTCGTCTAATCTGAAGACTTTTTAGCTGGCTGTGGAAGAGTTTTTGTAAAATAAATGGTTTTTAGTTCTCTGGAACACCGAGAGTATCAGCCAAGACCACTGGGGGGAGCACATGACTTGTGCAAATGCATTTCACTTTGGAGACACAAGGCCTCTTTGACAGACAGCATAGGAAATTTGGATATATATATATATATATAAGCATCTAAAATGTAAGTATTAATTTGGTGCCTAAATAATTATATAGGGTGCAATAGTTAATCATATTCCTTGTGGCATCTGTGCTAAAACTGTATTTCATTCCTAATTTATCTTTTCCACTATCTCGTGGACCCCAACTTTTGCTGCCATTCCTCCCAGATAAGCCCCTTGTCGCTATTACCACCCTTCTTTTTTGCAGTTATTTCCTTCAGCTATAGTAACTTTTATTCCCACAGCCTTACAGAGAATCCAGGGAGATGCAACCTAGGATCCCAAGAGAACAAGACTGCTTGTAAACCTGTGGTGAGAGATGACAAGAAGTTTCTCTGGCAGCAGGATAACCAAGGGACAATATTGGGAAGCTGGGACCTGATGCTCTCAGGTGTGAGAGGACTGGCAAGAAAGGGCATGTTACAGTTGTCCAATTATGTTTCACAACAAGACAGAAAGAAAACTCACAGGCTGAGTTTATCTCTAGATATCTAAGTATTTGAGATTTTTTCATGGATTGAAACCATATATAAAATATATTTTATCACTATAATTATAATACACAGGTCTTTCAGTTCTCTTTAGGTATTAAGATCTCTAAGGGAAAAGTAGATCCTTCACTGGTTTTCTATTGCTTAAAAGCTACTGATGTCTATAGCCTCTACATTATCTTAGTGTGAAAGCAATTCCCAATTACCTCCCTTAAAATTACAGTACTTGTAGAAATTAATCACATCATTAGTCTATATGAATAGATTTCTTCCTGAGTGTCCCCAAAATAGAGGTTATGTGGCTAATGCACTTTTTTTACATATTTGTCATAGATACACATCCAGGTTGGGTAATGTAAAAAATTGACCAGGAACATAAATGCAAGATGAAATCACCAGTCTCCTACTCCTAAGTGTTGCAGTTCATCAGAAATATTTTAAAATCCAGATTATTTCAATACACCATGCTTGTATGTATGCTTTTAACAATGCTTTATTTTGGGAAGCCTAAAGACTTAATGCAAGTGCAAAACCATAAATGTTTCTCTATTTGTTTATGAATCATAAACTTACACTCATACTGAATTTGCTTTATATTAAAATTTAGACACTGAAAAATATTTTCTGCTTTGACTGGGGCCTTCTAAATCTAGACTGAGTTTTGGAATAAGATTTTACTTGTGTCCTACTCATATTTAAAAGCTGAAGTTTATTTCAGGCATGTCACTGTCACTTTCAAATAGCCAGGAATTTCAGTCCAGCTGAGCTCAGTGTAGATCTTAACATGGATAGGTTTTGATTCCCAAGTAATGTTTTGAAAATAGAAGATCTAGGTCACTACAATGTTCATTCTGCTGCGCAGTAAACTGAAATGTGGCACACACTAGGCTTTATTCACCTCAGCTGTATTGCTCTCTAAAAGCTGGAATTCTTCTCAGCTTGCACTAAAATATGATCTACAGACACAGCTATGTTATTGGCAAACATTGTCTGCTGTACAAAAAAAGCCCCACTCCTTATGAAACATGGTGTACCAACCAAGTATATGCTATATCAACGAAATTACTCTGCTGCCAGGATATGCAGCACTTAATTTTGACTCCTCAGTTTGGCTAAATTAGTAAACTCTTCACAGTGGAGATCAACTCCAAGAAAGTTCATACAGGTCCCAGAATATCCTGCTTCTCTAGAGTGTCAGCATTTGCTGCAGAACACATACAGAAGAGGAAAAACAGCTCCCGTGGCTCCCATGAAGACTAAATTGACTATGCAGCAGTGTGATACTCCAGCTTCAAAGATGGACCAACCTAACCATCCCAGTGGGATGCTGCATTAATGCACTCTTTCTGGCATCTCACAGCACATCTCCTGCAAGCAACACTGTTTTCCTTTCCAAAAAAAGTAATTTCTTCCGTAGCTTCTGCAGTTAAAAATCTGCAGTATTTTAAGTATGTGCCAATAACTTAGATTAAAAATCATTGGTTATGAAATGTGAAAAAAGAAAAGACCCTGCCTGGATTGCATGTAGCTTTATTTATCATTCATTCAAAAATCATCCTTAGTATAGCTGCCACAGAACTCTCTGGATGCTATTTGAGAAGCTACAACCACCAGTGTAAAAGGGGCCCCTCAGCATGTGGCCAAGTGCCTGGTGTTTAGTCCAGGTGCTAGTCCAGGACTAAAGATTCTGACAATGCCAGTTGAACATCTCTGCCTGTGCTGTGAAAACTCAGGGTTAGAAACAATTAAGTCATTAAGGGCTTGGTGACTGATCCATTTCTGTATCTTAACATTTTCTTCTAAAAGAAAGATGGAGAGGTTTGCATGGGCATGTAGTGACAGGACAAGGAAGAATGGTTTCAAACTGACAGTAGGTTTAGATTAGATTTTAAGAAGAAATTCTTCGCTGTGAGGGTGGTGAGACACTGGAACAAAATGCCCAGAGAAGCTGTTGAACAGCTTTCCTGGAAGTGTTCAAGGCCAGGTTGGATGAGGTTTTGAGAAACCTGATCCAGTGGAAGGCATCCCTGCCCATGGCAGGGGGATTGGAACTACATGATCATTAAGGGCCTTCCAATCCAAACCACTCTATGATTCTATGGATCAGCTTCACCCTGTACATGACTGTGACACTGTATGAGACACCAGTCAGAAAAAGGAACTTCCAAACCCATATTCTGTCCCCATAAACAAATACATAGATGAGCACTGCCAACCCTAAGAAACTGGAGTTGAAATGCAAACACTTGATTATATTTGCATAGTTGTGAAAATTTATTAGTTACAGTGTAATGAAAATCGACTTTTTTGGTACAGGCAGAAGTAAAAACATACTTTATATAGAAAAAAATCACAGCTTTAAAAACTGACTTACATTGTTTAAAATGAGTAAATCTGGTTGTATTTCAAGGCATTGGACTTTAATACTTAATTTTATGCCAAACCATCACACAGTGCAAGAAATATTCTGCAACAAATTCCATACAGCAGTCTTCAGAGTATTTAGTCTCACAGAATCTCATGGTGGCAAAAAAATGTACTGAATACTTTTCCATTTAAACAGAAAACATTGCTGAAGTTACATTTTTCTTTCTTCACATACTCTCTATTACAAAAATATCAAATTGTAAATTTGACACTGTATTCTACAAATAAATGCATAATAAGCAACAGGAATTGCAACTTCGGCACAGCTACTTTACAAAGTGTATTATAAAAATAAATTATATGGCAGATATCAAACAAAATCAAGCAGGTGCCTTAGGCTTTGCAATTAAAAGTGAAATTCAGCTGGCAGAAAGATTGCTGCTCTCTCTCTGATTAGGTACTTTTAAAATACCAGCAAAGCCATTCATTTTTAAATCTCTACCAAGAAGAAAAAATATATAAAACCTAATGGAAGCACTAAAACTTCCACAAATAATCAGTAGCACAAGTGACCCTGGTGTTGCTGGCAGAGAGCTTCTACAGTGATCCATCCACAGGCATGGAGGGTAGTGCACACAGAGAGCTCTATCGGGTGGTAACTCATCTAGAGTTCACGCGTAACTGGTGAATGATGACACTCTCTAAAAGAAAAGAGAGCAAAACATTCGGGTTTATGAAACTACAAACGCATTGCAACTTACTTTAAAGAAGAATTACAATGGCAGTGCAAGGCATTTTTCTAAAAAAGTCTCACAATCTTACTTCACTGCTTGATAAAACTGGTTAATGCCACAAAGGGAAACTAAATGAGTACCTGTCGAGGGCTCAGAGGACCTTGGCTTCCACTTCAGTGTCAAGACCATGATTTGGTTGTCCATAGGAAAAAGGAGTAATACAGTTGAATGGATTAAAGCAGAGGGACACCAAAGTTCCAGTTCCACACCCAAACTAGGTAGAGAAAGACTTGGAGTTGGGCGTCTAATATCTTGTCTAAGCAACTTCATCATAAATCTGGTGGCAATTCATAAATGAGGAAGAGGTATGGGATAATTTATCTTTTTTTTTTTTTAGAAACCTATAGAAACCTATGCTGTGTTTATTCAGTGAGTCTTCTTGAATTTTGCTACTGACTTTAATGGGGATAAATTTCAGACACAGCATGCAAAACTATGTGTTGGCATTTTCTTTAAAAGGCTGGATTTAATTTTGCCCAGTGTGTAGTATCAGAGGTGCCTGATCCTGATTAACCCCTGGCCTCTGCTGAAGTACTAAGGGCCTGATCTTCTGTTCTTCTACCTATATATGCAGCTCACAGGCAGCTTTTTTAATATAAGAATAACTTTTTAATACAAGAATTTACTGTCAATTAACATTTTTCTCTAAGGTGTATTTTATGCATTTCAAATAATGTAACTGTACCAAAACTAATTAAAGCATACAGTTATACATTTTCAGAAATATTCATCTTAATTGAAATTACTTTTGTTAACTTCCTTTTTTAATAGTATGAAGATTTTTCAGAATTTACGTGACCCAAGAAATTACACTATTGGTATAACTTTTGCCTTTTACATTTTTATGGACTTTTGCTTTTATCTGCCTCGTAGCTAATATTTTCAAGGTGTTTCATGAAGTTAGATTATAGAAAGAAAGAAAAATGAAAATATTTTCCATGTGCTCTTATTGCCAGAACTTTGCCACTAGATGGCAGATCCCAGTGCTGCCTTTCATACGTGGTGAAGCAAGAGCAGGGCTGAAGCAACGTCCAATAAAATACATTAAGACAAATGAAATAATAGAATTTCCCGAATTGGAAGTATTTATTTTCCACAAAATTTATCAATAACAAATGATTTTCAACAAGAAACGTACACCAGTTCTACCACACTTGAACAGTGAATGTGAAAGAACCAACTATTGTTTGATTTTACCTTACAGCCAGTGCTGTTCTAGCTTGAAGCTCTTGTGGAATATGATGTTAAAAGCTATGTTTAGAAATTATTTTCTTAATATTAAAAATATTATTTTTTAAAGAATAAATATTTTTTTAATATTCACTGTGCACATTTAATAAGGAGTGTAGACACAAAATCCTAAAACAATGGGCAGCAGAAAAATATCACACTCCTTGTTAAGGCTTAGTCACTGAATGAACATCAAAACTGCAGCCAGTGTCTGGATTAAACACCTTTCTCCTACAGACCCAAACAGTAATTGTGCAGAAAATAGTAGGAGAAAAAGTAATTTTTAAAGAAGTCAGATAGTTTCCACTGATATTTATCTTCCATTAATTTCTCACACACCTAAAGAACACATGCTTCAAGATTGTCTCAGTTGTATTTGAAATGCTTATATATATGTATGAATATATATATTATACACACATACACACACACACACACACACACACACACGTGTGTTACTAAAAGAGGTGTCTGAACAGTTACTAAGCTAAAATTAGAGTAGGGCAGATTTTGTCAGAGTTCTTTTGGGCCACTCTCTGGGGAATGGATATGATATATTCATATCCATGGAATATGGTAGGAATATGATTCTATTTGAAGGATATGATTAAATAATTTTTTCTAGGGTTCTAGATGGGAATCTTCCAAGGAGCTATGTATTCACTTAAACAAAACAATTTATTTTAATGACAGAAAAAGAAAATTAAGTTAATGTAAAACAGCTAATTCTGCTTTCAGTCCTACTGATGTAAAGCAGAACTTCTTGAGGAAACACATCAAGATACCAGTTCATATAATGAAGCACATCAAGTGACATTTTAACATATAAAGTTTAATTTCTCCTTACAATATATACAAGTATCACCAGATAATACAAAAACAGATGTACCACAATTGCAGACAATGCACACCCAAGCAACAGAAGAGAATCATACATCAGTATTTCTAATTCTGTTTTTAAAATCCCAAGGAGAGGTTTTTTTTTTGTTTGGAGAACCATTCACACCTGAGTGTTTCATACCTGAGAGCTGATAGCTCTGCACCTGACAGAAGTTAACCCTGGTTACATTTTAAGAGAAAAAAAGAAGCCAAGGTAAGAGCAATGTGTAGGGAGTAAGATTCAAAGTGAAGTTAATATCTATAATGAAAAATATTGCATATAATTTTGCCCAAGAGCAAAATTAAGAGAAAGAGGATAACTCACACTTACACAGGGGAGAAAACCATTCCCCTAAATGAAAACAAGTTCAAAAGATGAGCTCACAAAAACTCCTGCCAGCTAACTACGTGTTTCAAAGCAACTCAGTGAAATTGGCCACTGATGTGTGATGGGAACATATAATTGGTCTGAAAATTGTCCTGACTGTTGCAGCTTATGCCAAGTACCTGAAATTCAGCAGGACAGTAGCAAGCTCCATTTGAAGACATGTTGTTCCACATCTGATCAGAATTACTGAATATTCATGTAAATACCGAGTGTATTTTAGAAAGTGTTTGGCATATTTCAAGCAGGGACATACCACTTGGCATCCTGTTGGCACGGATCAACATATTAATGTGACTTTAGAGATTACTCCCATGGTGGTAATTACTAAGAGCTTTAAGTGGTTTGAGGTTTAAATACAGTGATGTGTACTCTATGGGCCTACTACAAAGAGTCACAACGTGTTTGGTTTTTGAAAAATCCCACTAACAGGTGTCACAAAAGGAAAAAAGGTGAGCAAAGTAAAGCAAAACCTCTGTTTTTCTTCTACCATTTGCCCAGGATGTTTACTAATCTGAGAGAAATCCCCCCAGGCATTACAGCTGAAACTCTGTGCTCCTTTTTCACTGGCACTTACTCAAATGTATTGATCTACTAATGACTACATTAGCAATACCCCTATGTGGCAGTAAGTCTGGTGATGGGCTCTAATTTCATGGACACAGTAGAAAACTTGTTACGAACTAGACTTAAAATCAGGGAGATCATCTGGAGAACTAAGGGTGCATCTTCTCAGTCCATGTGTGCTGCTCGTGAATGGGCTAGCATTTTCCCTGCCCTTCCCCCTCTCTACCTTACGGCTGGTGCTATGCCATATGTTACTGCTGATGGGCTTGAGTTATCACAACTGTTTATATGGCCATGTCATCAGCCAAAACAGGGCTTCTCTCCAGCTGACACTGAATGTGACTAAAAGTACAAAGATTGGTCAGTCATCTTAGTTCCTGACAAAGCACTGTAACTATCATTACGATTCTGAGTACATTATTTTGCTACTGAAATTGTTCCACTTCATTATGAAAAAAATCCCAAACAAAATGACTAAGAAAAAAGGTAAAGAGGGAGAAAGCATGAGAATGAGTGATTCCAAATGATCACTTAGTAAGGCTTAGTTTATGTATTATAATCCAGTAATGTATAATACACAAAAGCCCTGTAAAGAAAGCCCTAATATTTTACTTTGGATCGATGTATCAGAGTTTAATTCTTTGGTGCCTAGTAAATTCTGAGGTCTGAACAAAGCTTGTCCTTATGGTATTTCTGACATCACTCTTGTGTTCATTCTTTGATGCTGTGTGAAGGTGAGCTCATGCCCTACTCTTCTACACAGTGAGGCACTGCTAAAGTCTTGCTTCTTTTCTCTGCCATCCTTTTCATTAAACTGGAACAACTTATTCTGGAGTCCCCTATTGCTTTGTCGGGTTTGGATGAAATTGGTTGGTGTGTTCGGTGCTATTCATTAGGGAAGGAGAGATGGAAGTATGGATGAACACAGACACTCCATCTTATAAGCCTCCTTTTCAAAAGGGCTAGGCTCAAAGGCAGCCTTGGGAACAGGGACATGAATCTGGGGAAGCTCCCTCCTAGGTCAGTATCCTGACCCCTCAACCACTCTCTTGTTTCTGCTGAGTGAATACTGAAGCATTCCATGCAGAACGGCACAGTCTTTCCAGGAGGGAATGAGAATGCCACCTTCATCCCCCTCAGCTGCTAGTGCCACTAGTGAACCTGCCTGCAGCTGAAGTGGGTTTGAATCTCCTCAGGTACAGTTGAAAAGGGGAACTTGTCTCCTACCTTTGAAAAAAGGTTTCAATCAAAACCTTTTGACAATAAGCAGCACTACCCCTGTGTTTGTGTGGTATTTGATCTACTAGAAGACATTCATGATCCTACATTCACTTTAAACCACCAACTGGTTTCCTATGCCCTCTGTTTTTTTTTTCTGGCCTGTAAGCTTGGCACAGAGTTACATTAAAGCCAGCCTCTGTGCTTTTTTGCCAGATTCCTTTTAATTCAGATCAGTTCCCCAGTTAAGTTCAAACACTTGTCCCACCACATAGTCAGTGACTACTTTCTTGGTTGGAGGTGACAGAGACAGGACTATAGCTTTTCAGTCCAGTGTGGAGTTAGAGCCTGACTTTAAGTGACCATGAAATAGTGGCTTGACTTAAAAGCCTCGGAGGAAATACAAGAATACCTGCATTACGGATCTCACTGAGGTACAGAGGCTGCAGTGCTACATTTAAGTCATAACAGAAACACTGACTAGACAAGGGAAGAACATCAAGAAGATCTTCCGGATGCCTCTTGTGCTTAGGCACTGTTTTTAGATTTCGTTGTTTAAATTGCCTTTTGGAGCTGACCTACTGAATGGAGAATCTTACTGTAGTCACGAAACATAACTGTCTTCAGATTCAAAGGAAATTTCAATGTAATACAAATAGTTAGCCTTGAACTTTTAAGATTTCTGAACTATGGGCTTTCTTTTCAAGTCATTTTACCTTTGTTCTACCTTTAGGAAATAAGAATATTAGGTCAATTAAAACAGATGTCAAAAGTTTTGAGTATAACTAAATACCTGTTTTTAGCTAACAGTTTAACCAGCTGCCCGATTCCAACCCTTTAGACTTCTGCTGCAGAACAAAAGTCCATTTTTGATGTGCAGCCCCTGGGGAAAAATAACAGGATCCTAAGTCTGACCTCTCTGGAATTTCTGAAGTTTGTCTCATCAAATCCTACTGACTCCACAGGAGCAATTCCTAGCCTGTGCCTGCATTTGTGGCTCTAGCTTTGCCAGTTTCTGTGCCCTAGATATCAGGTACTGTGAGGCTGGCTTGTTTCTTCAGGTGAATTAGTTTCTTAGACCTCAAACAAACAAAATTTTCAACAACAAGCACACAAAGGATATTGAGCATGGTGACAGTCAACTAAGGAACAAAATTTCTTTGACACAAGGAAAGCTTAAGGCAGCTGTATCAATCCACACTTGATGCCTGGGGATCATGTTTGCAATATTATTTCACTGGTTTGACCTTACAACTTCCTTCAGTAACAGTATTTAGGGTGAAAATCCAGAAAAAAACCCTGTTTGTTCTTTTAAATAGCTGTTAAAATGTCTGTGTTACAGTAAGAACAGTAAGATCTCAGCAACAATTTATTGACATACTGAGGCTTTTAAGTGATAAGAATTACTTGAGAGGATCTGATGTATTTCTGACATAGTAATTCACATTGCTTGCTAATTCCAGTTTCCAAGTTTAATCTGAAGTACTGGGAATAGGAGTTACAAAAAAATGCTACTAATACCAATCTGATTTTTGGATGTCATAGGAATAAAAACCTTAAAATTAACAACCATTTTAGGCGCTACACATGTGACAAACCAAAACCTCCTCTTTTTTTAATGTGGCAAAGAAAAAATCCCCTTTATGTGAATGATAAAATGTCAGCTTTACATTGGGAAGATTGCTGTATCTGGTTTTAAAATTCTACAGCAATGCAAAGCAGACAGAAAACTAAACACTGCTTGGATTGAGTATAATTTTGTTGACCTTCGGTGATAGAGTCTTCCATCAAATATCTTCTCCCAGGCCAAATTTCTTATTTCAACCACTGGTGCATTTTCCTTTCTGTGAATTTTGTTTGTAATTTATTGGTGGACTTCCCACCTTTCTTTCTGTTTTAACCACTGGGCCCTTCACAGCTTGCTGAGGTGGTTGAAGCATTATACAACTTTAAACCCATCATTTATTAGTCTGCACAGCTTCATTTCTTTTGATTGTGACTTTCTTCTGTGAAAATTGATCACTGAATGGAAATGTGCTTTAATAATTCAACTGTCATTAAATAATTAAACAATCATAACAACCATCAGCATCCACACTATTTCCATGCTAGAAAAATTCCTTAAAACATGCTTAAAAAATGCAAACATACAGATGAGGAAATCACGAAGAGGGAAGGAAAAATGATGAATCACCATGGTGTATGTAAGGTGGTCTGCATTTTATGACAAAATATTTTAAACAACTGAAAACTGGGAATAATTTCATTACCAAATCCTCTCTCTTTCTACCTGAGCTGTGCCTTTAGACAGCAATTCCTGCCACCAGCAGTCTGTGCTGACTTACCCTCTAAGACATAATAAGGATGCTTGGCAACTAAGGTTTAAATGTAAGACCCAACCAGGAAAACTGAAAGCCTAGTCAGATCAATCGAATGAGTTGCTTCATAGCCTTTAGTGGTCTTTGGAGCAGGCTCAAATGGATTGTGTCAATTTTTACCAGACAGTGTTTCTCAAGCTTTTGCTGAAGACTAAACACCTTCTGGCTCACAAGCCTTCATCTGAGTCCTGAGCTGGCAGCATTCCAGTGTGTGTAAATCAGGAACCTGGTTCTAAGTGCTGTCTACAAGTGTTAACTCTCTCTGGAAGAATTAAGTTGCTGCCAAACATTATGCAACATCCCTATGCCCTTGAGTTTAGTAACTATCTTGAGAAAGCAGCTCACCACTGAGAAATGGTGATTTTGATGGGAGGCTCCTAGACAGAAGGCCACATGGTCACATGGTGCCCATCCTTCCTCTCTTCCCCCCCCCCACAAACACACGAGGTACTGACTTTCATTAAAACAGGACCTCAAGTGCACATGGCAAGTCTTCTGGCATTGCTTCCCTAGGCCATGTGGCATTTCAATAATGTGATCAAGGCAGGAAAGAAAGCAGACCATGCAGCAGCAAAAGTGGAAAGTGATCTGTTAAGGTGGAAAACAATCTAGTACATGTGACCAAACTTCCTTTGATCTACTAAAAAGTGATCAAGTCTATCATTAAGAATTCCTGAACTAGATTAATAACCAGTTACCCCATTCTCACTTCCTAGACTGAAAATCTTCCTGGCATAAAATTGCCTTTTTGACAGCTTTTTTTTTTTTTTTTTTTTTTTTTTAAACTTGAGTAAGGAAACAAAATGGTTTGGTTATTTAAGTAGTCAGTGCACACACTTATTAGTTTGTTGTTAAGTATCATCTGCAGGACTTCATTAGTACAGGCAAACGTGAACAACTACACAGACAGGGGAGCTGACTTCCATGGCAGCAGTAAAACCTGCAGAACGTACCCCCTGAGCCACGGCCATCAACCCTGACCCCCGCCCAGGGAGGCAGAGCTGCTGGCTGAAGATTTCTTCAGTTCTATTTTCATAGACTGAGTCTCAGCACGAGGCTCGAATTTTGTCACATTTCCTGCTCCTGGGGCTGCCACTACCGGCTTTCCTGCTTTCATACCTTTTGACACAGGAATGCGGGTGGGTGTAGGTCTCGGGGATAACCCGTCCTGTCCTGTCTGCAAAACAAAGAGACAGAAAAATGCTGTGAATTTAGGACTTCTTCTCATACATTCTCATCTTACACTTTTCTTTGTTTTTTCCTTTATCTCTCAAACATCAATATCCCAAATAATACCTATTAGCAAAGTGATATTCACACTTGGAATATGGCCATGGCACATACTGCTAGAGTAGGGCCAAAGGCACAGTTGGGATCAAATGAGGTTCCAGAGCTGAAGTCCAGTGTTTTGAATCAAGATGTCGTGAGGATGGGAATTTATGCAAATCTCCCATTTTACAGCGTGACACAGTGGAGGATGACCTTAGAGGCTACTACAACATTGGCTTGGCTGTCAAGACAGGTACAATATTAGCATCAATATTAGTATAGACACTACCACAGGCCCTCAGAACAGCATAGTCAGCTGAGGCTAATGATGAACACAGAGCACCTGCCAAATTTTAGGAGCTGGGGCATGGTCACTGAGCATTATAAATAAAATGGAATTTTACTTCCCAAAGTATGCTGAGCTCATGGCTGAGGCCACATATTTCTGCACTGGGAAGAGCAGGGGGCTGGGAGAGAAAGAGACAGAGAAAAGATCTGGGTTTCCTTTTCCTGTGTCTGCAGCAGGAGGGATGTGGGAAAGGGCTCTCCCCCTCCAAGCCCTAATCATGACCTGAGAAACTTTGATGAAGGTGAAGCTGCTAACCCAGATTTCCAAGGATACCTCAAGGCATTGTGGACATGGTTATTTTACTATCTCTGCCAGTCTTCTGCCCTGGACAACAGCCTAACAAGCATACTTATCCTGAAGTTTCACTACTTCAGAATTAAGAAAACAAAGAACAGCGTAAGTGGTTGGCTTCGGGCTGGGAGACCCAACACCTCTCCTGTGCCCTTCTGAAGCCCCAGCTGGAGACCAGGCCAAAGCTATCCCATAGCTTTGAAACTGCAAGCAGCACATATGCTTCAGCTATGGAACCTCACCGTGTAAATGCACAAGGAGTACTTGGATAGGATGAAAAGACTCAAAAGGGCCAACTGCTATTTTCTGTCTCTCTTGGCCAGATAATGATGCATGTACTCTTCAAGGTCAAAACTGGAGCTACCCCATATGAATGATGGCTTAAAGAAAATACTTATAAACATGACAATTCTGAAAGGAAAATGGGGTTTATCTCCTGCAGCGTACAATACAGATAATGGTGACAAATGATGATGGTGACAACTTCAGTGTCTCCGAATTTCATACATGACTGACATTTCTGTTCAGATTATGGATAAAGACTTTGATCTCACAAAAGAGAACAATTCTCATAAGATCCTGGACACTTATAAGCAAAATAAAACTGAACAGCTGAAATATACCAGATTGGGGGCCCATGTCAGGGCAACATGCATTGTAGATTTACTTGAAAATGCTCTACAAATGTTTTTCAGCCAGTGGCATCAGAGCTTTCTGTCTGCATCCTGAGCATGCAAAAGAAAACCATTCCTTAATCTTCTAAGAACATTTCAAAACCCCATGTGTACACTCAAAAAAAATCACAATTGGAAAACTTGAATGCTGTCTGCCTGACAGGAAGGAAGCCATTTTCAATAACTAAAAGCAACATTTACAATAGCAGTCTAAAGGCTAATATGGAACTCACATGTAGATGTCAAAACAAGTTAGGTCCATACAATTCTGTAGGGCAAAACATGCAAATGCATTCCATCAGCCTTGGAAAATATGTCAACATCCCAGGGAACCCAAATGACAAACATCTTGTACTCCCTGAAAGAGTTCCACAGTGTGTAAACATGAGGCAATCAAATGGAGTAGCTGGAATCTCAGGCATTTCTTCAGCTCTATTCACATGTAAATTATTAACTAAGGATTTGGGCGCCTTCAAGTTACTCATTTTCAAGCCTAAATCACTCAAAAGCACTTTGAAAAGAACTCTAACTTGCTTTAAATTTCTTAGTTGCCTTCATTCCAGCATACTAACGTGTTGATCGTTTGGAAGCTAATGCCTGCTTCCCAGGCAGCTGCAAAAGCATTTTGTGTTTGCCAAGTGAGATGGCACAAAGGTGCCTCCCCAGCCGGCTGTCCCCTTGGGCACGGGAAGGGGCAGCAAGCAGAGAACATATCCAGTCCACGTCTGTAGCATCTGTGGTAGAGAACCCACAGGACTGCCTGTCTCTCCATCGTTTCTTCCAAGAATTCAAAGTCATTCCTTCCAGCCCTGTTTGTCTGTAGGCTGCTGTCTTCTGGTTGATCCAGGAATGTGGCTGCAACCAGAAACCAACCCTTATGCAGCTGGACTGGAGTGCCCGAGATGTGGCCCCCTGGGACACTGGGTGATGCAAGCTGGATTTGAGCTGACAAGGCAAGACATGGTGCTGGAACAGGGACCCAGTGAAGTTACACATGACATTACCGAGAGTGAAACTAACATGTGCAGCTGCACGGTGCAGTCATAATCAGCTCTCTCTGCAGACACAGGTGTATTAACCTGTGAAGTTGCATTAAGGTAGGACAGTCCCATTAAAGGAAAAAAGGGTAACGGAACATACAGAACATGTAGCACATTTGAGAGGTTTGTAACAGGTCCTGTTTGGTGTGTTTTATTGACACACCAAGAGAATGCTTTCATGCACAAACTGGCTTCTGGAATATTTTAATTACAAAAGTGCTTTTTCAGCATTTGTTCTCAATCTCATCAGGTCCCAGCTTGCTCTGGACAGAAATGGTTCAATTCAGTGAACAACAGACACCTTGTGCAATTTGAAATGACCTGAGCTACTCAAGCAATGTGCACGGGGCTGGTAGAGGACAGATGACCCAAGGAGACCTAAAACTTCTGATAAAGCAGCTGGAAGGCAGGTAGACTACTTGACACCACTGAAAATGGCACTAAAATAAAGTATGTTTAGGTAACTTTACCTTGAAGGGGTGGGACTTAAGTTCTACTCAATATAGTCAGCAGAGCTAGTGGGCAATTCAGCTCACACAGAAGCTAGCCCTGTCTCAGCTGGATCATCCCCGGTCACCACAGAGGCAGCACACAGTGCTGACACGGGGACTGATGACTACAGACTAACTCAGCTGTCCACACTGAGGCGTCCTGTGCCATCTGAGGTGTCCCACCAGCTGCCACTGCAGAAAGGTACAGGTCTGTTATCACTCCCAGCCTCACACATGTCTCAGTTGCCACAGGCACACAGCCAGCACCACAATACCTCTGCATGGGTGAGTGAGCTGCCCCCTGCACCTCCAGGAGCTCTAGCAGCAGCTTAGAGCATATATGGGACACCTACAAAGAGCTACATTTAGGTGCCAATCTCAAACTAAGAGCTGTCCAATTGCAAGTGGCCTTCCAGCTGCATAAACACTTGTCCCGTTCGCTCTGGCACCCGACAGCTTCTCAGCGGGGCCCGGTCACAGGACTCTCTGCATGGTTGGTGCTGTGCCACCGTGCTGGCTCTGCTGCAACTGGGATTCCCTCTGCTCCCTGCAGATTTGCTCAGCCCTGGAGTCACTGTGTACCCTGGCAGCATAAACAGTTGGCACTCAATGCCAGGCTTGTAGGAGGTGGGGAGCACAGGGATTAAGTGATTATAGAACTGACACCCATCCTGGTAGCCAAAGATCCACATTCACCAGCAGTCCTATAACCAAATGTAAGGCCTAAATCAAACAGGATGTAGGCACCACTGGTTTGGGTTTTTTCACAAAGAATACTTTGGTTTATTCTGTGTGATTTTTTTCTGCAAACTATATGAACTGTCCTGAGAAAATAAATTTGGGGCAATGTGCTAAGGGAAGACTAACAAACAGGCTCGTTTTGGTCTCCATGTCCTCTGGTCCACTTGCAATAAAAAATCATATCCTAGGTCTGTTAGGATAGTCCAAGTATTTTCCTGGGAATGTGTTTAAGTCTAATCAAGCTAAGGAGGACTAAACACCATTTTTTTCTCTTTCTGTGGGAACTATCCAAATCCATAGGCTGCCATAGAAAAGGCATTAATACACTGTACAAAGCATCTTGTGTGAGGAGAGTTAGGACAAAAATTAAAAACAGCGAGCTAAGAAAGCAGCTGTGTATCAGTTCGTCTTGTTCAATTTTATTATTTAAACCCTCAAAATCGTATCTGTTGGTTTCATCTAGGGTTACTGAGTAAATTATCACAGTTTGGGTTTTCTGACTAGGGGTAGCGAAGTGCGTTTGTAAAGTTGTCATTTGCAAAACAGATGATGAATACACTTTTTTCTCCAAGAGGCTAGGGAGGAAAAGACATATTTGAGCTTGTTCAAAGTTACCTGCTCAGCCGACTAGGGACATTAAAAGGGAAGCATAAGATAAAGTAAATCTTATGGCTGAACTATTTTCCTTACATTCCAAATTAGGGAGGATAAAGTGAAGAAAGATGCCTGTTTTTAGCCAGAAAAAAAAAAACAACAACAAAACAACAAAACAAAACAAAGAAGTTTTTTTATGTCATGGTTCACTGCATCATCACAGTAGAGACAGACATCTAGTTAAAAAGAAAAGTTTTAAAAAAAGTTTTCCAGGCTTCTGAGAGACAAAGGAGTTTGTAAATTAATTCAAGACTTTAAAAAATGAACAGTTGCCTCTAATATCCAAAGACTGTAAAGTATTTACAATACATTATATAGGCAGGAAGAGAGAACGAGCGCATGTGCAGTCCCAGACCTGTGTGATGAATGCAAGTTTTCTTAATTCAGAAGCTTTAAATGAGAATGGCAGCTTCTCTCCAAAAGTGTGAAAGTGTATCTGAAATACACTTCGACATTTCAGCTTGGGAAGAGATGCCTGACAAGGCGTGTTGTAGGGGTCTGCTGACTCCAGAGCAGCATGGACAAATGAGTAGGGGATGACTATTCAGTATTTGTCAAGATACAAGAAAAAGGCTGTAACCAATGAAGATATTGCATAAAAGGTATCAAACAAAAGAGCTTTTCCTAAAGCCCACAACTGAATTCACTGCCCCCTGATGTTGTGGAAACAACAGTGTAAATGAGTTCAAAAAGCAATTAAAAGAATAAATAGAAGAAAACTCTGCTATGGTCTATTAAAGACAAAGATGCGGCTACAGGCTCTGGTTCAGAAATACCCACCTATTGCCAAAAACTTGGAACAGATGCTGAGGGAAACATTACTGTGTTTTACCCACTCAAAATAATCTTCCCCTAAGCATCTGTTGCAGACTCTGTCTAGCTAAGTTTTTGGACTAATACAGTACTGCTGGTTTTCTGTTTTGGTTAAATTCTTCTTTCCCAGGGTATTTCCAACTAAAGCAATAAAAACACGTCCAATAGTAAACTGGGGAAGGACTATCAATAAATACTGCCCACTATGGTTAAAGACAGAGGTGAGAAGTTCTTAAGTATGAAAAAGAAGCTGGGATACCACCACAGAAGCCTGAAGAGAAAGCAAAAAATAAAATATGCCACAGGAAGCTCTGCTGTAATTCAGCACTTACAGAAGTTCAGAGGAACAGAAATATCTCTGCTATTCATGGCTAAAGAGTCTTGGAGCTGTAAGCAATGATAACATGTCTGCTTATTTATTCCTTTGGAGTTTAGTAATATAGCAGATATTAACTGAATTATATGGAGATCATGGGATTATATCAAAGAAATGCCAGTCTTCATAATTAAAATCTAAACACCTGCCAGCTGGGCCAAAAAAACATGAGGTGTATTTTCAAAATTCAGAAATTGCATTCATCAAAAATGAAAATACAGCTTCCTGCTCTGTCATCCCAATCATTCTCTGTCCCTCTGTCTCTCACTTGTGATTTTACTGGGTTGCCATTATGAAAATAACTTTGAAGGGACTTCCTCTGGAAGTTAACTGCTTTGGGAGATAATACAAAAAGTATACCAGCATCCAACACTGGTACAAAAATACATGAATTGGGCAAATTCTGATTAATTTCTGATTAAGCTTGAGCCTGGAAGAAATATAGGGAAGACAGGAGCTTCTCTTCACTCCCCCCATTTTCCCTGCTGGTGTCTCAAACCCAAGCTACAGTTTGTCCTTCTCCCTGCCATAAAGACCACACAATGAGACTACACTGCTTACCATTGATTGTGTTCCTCGTGTGGAAGACGTTGTAACAGGCGTGATGGTGATAGTGCTTGTCACCTTGCTGGCTGCAGGTCGCGGGGACAGGTTGTTCCGAGGTGATCGAAGGACAGTGCCAGTCACCACCTCTTTCTCTGCCGCGATGTTCACCGGCCGGACTGTTATCACAGGGCTCGCACCGTCAGGCGCAGCACTGGGAGAACGTTTGAACTGGGAGCCCAAGTGGATGTGGATTTTGTTGTCCTCTGTTGTAATAATGTTGGCATTGGCATTGTACTTGCGGATTGGAGTCGGGACGGTTTGCTTTTCTGGCGTGACTTTGAAGACAGCCCTTCCCATGGTCATATCTTGTGACTGTGGAGAGACTGAGATTTCTGCTGGTGCTGCAGAGGTTGATACTGTCATAATCTGAATTGGCGATGCAGGTCTGTCAGCAAAGGGTGCTCTCCCTCCCTCTGGGGACTTTTCCCTGGAGAATGTTGTTATAGTGACTGGAGACATGGAACGATCTGGGCCCATGGGACTTTCACTGCCTTTTCCTTTTTGTGGCATAACATTTGGAGAGGGAATGATGGTTATTCGTGGCTTCTGATTTCCCAAAGTAGGAATGACAGTGGTACTTGAAAAAAATTCCTCTGCAGATGGACTGGTTATCTCCAAAGTTGCTGTACTGTTCTCATGGTCTGGTGTCACCCGAATATGAAGAGGCTGACCCTGCTTTGGTGAAAGGACAACCTCCCCAGGATGTGCTGGACTACTGTGGGTTCGGGCTCCTTTATCAGGAGTTGTCTGAGCCCCAGCTTCCCTCTTTTTCATCCACGGTATCCAGGATTTCCTCATAGCAAGCTCATTTGCTGCTGGAGGATATCTCTCAAGCACTGAAGAACGCTCCATGGGTTTTTTCAGACCTACCTGTCGCAGATTGCTCATGATATGATTCTCCTCTTGAAAGGATTTCCTTATAAACACTGCTGGAGTTTCTTCTTCTGCTGCTTCATTGCTTAAAGCATCTGTCTGCACGCCGGTGGACGTCACGGGAACATCGACCATTCTTCTCCCGTTCATGCTGGGCCTCAGAGCGCGGCTGTAACGCTTAGAAAGCTCCAGCTCTCTTGTCAGGTTCAAGACTTCCTGCCCCATGCTCTTGTTTTTGTTTTCCTCTTCCATAAACCTTTGCTGTAGAACTGAATAATCGACTTGGAGCTGAGAAAGCTGGTCTTCTTTGTTCATGAGCTCATGGATTTTTTCCTTAAGTGCTTGAACTTCTGCTTTCAAATCTCTGCTTTTGGCCTCTTCCAGACGAAACCTGTGCCTAAACTCTGCCTCCTGGCTCACTACTTCACCTTTTTCTATTGCTTTCGTTTTGGCAATCTGGAGTTTCATCTCCTCCAATTGCTGAGAAAGAAAATTAGCTTTATCCTGCTCAGTCCTAAATTTCTGTTCTAGCTGATCATACTCATCTTCAGTCTTCATCAAATCTCCTTCAACCACTTCCAGTTGTTTGAGACGTTTTTTCAGTCTTTCGATCTCAATGGTAAGTTCCTTAATCTTGTTGTCCTCATGACAACCATGCTCTGCTCCTTTCCTAGCCCGACCTCTTGTAATTTCTCTTTCTACTTCCTCCATACCATCAATTCTTTTCTTTAACAGGTCAACTCTACAGCTTAGTTCAGATGATTTTTCTTCTTCACTTCTCAGTTTGCCAATTAACTCGTCTCTTTCCTTTGTCAAACTAGATACTTTTTCCTCCATTTCAGATTTCAGTTTCAAAAATTTCTTACTTTCTTCTATCAATTTCTCTGTTACATCCATAACTTTCCCTTGTTCAACTTTAAAATTCTTGTTTAAGCCCTCAACCTTTTTCTCCTCCTGTTTTATTTTTTCCATCATATTTTTTCGCTCATCAACCAGCATTACAGTAAATGACTTCAGCTTCGTAAGGTCATCTTTTAAGCTTATTTCAGCCTTTTCCAACTTGCTTTCAGATGTCTCAAGGTCCTTCACACGAGTCTTCACCACTTCCAACTCATTTATCAAATCCTTAGTCAAATTTTTTTCTTTCTCCAAGTTTAAGTGTAGCTGAGTGCATTCTGACTTACTTTTACTGAAAGCCTCTTCCAGCTTCTCTAATTCTGACATTCTTTTCTGCAGTTTTTCCACTTCAAGTTTCAACTCTTTGCTATGATGCTCTTCCTCTTGCAGTTTATTTTTCAACTCTTTGCACTGTGATTCAGTTTTTGTGATCTCTTCATCTTTCCCCTCCATTTCAAGCACGTGCTTGCGGAGGTTTTCCACTTCTGCCATTAAACTAGAGTTCCCACATTCCCCTTTCGCTATTTTATCTCTTAGTTCTTGAAGTTCCTCCTCAGCTTTTTGAAGATTTTTGTTAGTTTCTTCTAGCTCCTCTATTCTGCGAGTCAACCCCACTAGCCTGAGCCTTAGCTGTCTATTATGTGACTCTTGATTAGCCAGTTTAGCAGTCATCTCCTCATGTTCTTGACAAAATGATAATGTTTTGTGTTCAAGTTCTGCCTCTAATTTCATCAGTTTTTGCCCATCTTCTTTTGTTTTTGCAGTAATAATTTTAAGCTTTTCTTCTTCTTCCTTTAGTTTTTGGGTTAAGTCTTGTATTTTCTGGCTTTGTTGACCAAGCTGTTCAATATGCATTTGTCTTTCATCCACCAGCATCAGTGCAAATGATTTGAGCTTGACTAGTTCTTCTCTTAGTTTATTAATTCTCTTTGTATGCTCCTTTTCCTTACGGGCTTGATAGATCTTCTCCTGCTCAAGAAGTTTCTTCAACCTGAAACAAGTTAGAAAAGATACATTAAGACTAAAATAAATATATATATATATATATATATGTATGTGTGTGTGTGTGCATGTGTGTGTGTGTGTGTGCATCTCTATTTCTAAAATCACCTTTGTTTTAGCTTCTTTCTTATTAATGGTAGCCTTCAAGAAATAACTACCTACTACAGTTATATTCCCAAACCAAGTATTTTGAATTACACAAGTTAAATGAAAGATACATCAAATCATCTAGAAATCTGAAATAAAGTAAAATTTTATATGTGTATAGATAACAAATACATCAGGTTTTAATTTCTTCACATTTATTTCTCTGTTAGGATGTTGGTAAAAGTATATAATATCCCAAGGGGACAATTATTATCTACTCACTAATTCATTTATACTAAAATTGTTTTACAAGGTGGATTCCTCTCTATGTCTTGCATACAGAAAAACATGTAAAATAGGGCAAAATATCTAAACTAATTGCCATATGCAGCCACACATAAACAGACCAATCCTGATTACAAATAAACCAGCAGAACAGAAGATTACAGTAGCACACAACTGATAACCATCTGGGCATCACAGGCATACGAAATTAGCAGGAAGATAAATTTTCCAGCACAGTGACTATTATGTTAAAAGGTTTCTTCTTCTACGTTTCCATTGTGAACCACAAGGATCAGATTAGTCAAACCTTTGGCTACAGCTGACCTCATCTGGAAAGTGCTCTTCTCTGTATGGTCTCTAAAGTTCTGTTTGCAGACAAAATAAAGCTTGCCATATGCAAATTAGGTGTCTCCTCAGAAAGATAATAAAGACATACGTTACCCAGCCTTAGCCATGCAGCATGGAGTAATATAACTAATTTATACCTGTAATTTATGTTCAGGATATGTTGCCATCAACATAGGAAGTTCCTGCACATGTTCTAAGCACAGATTTATGAGGATGGTGATCCGCAATTGACAAAGAAGTACAGGTAACACAGGGATGTATCCCTGACCAATCTAAGAGCATTATTGTAAAAGCAGCAGTCTGATTTAGAAAGACACAGGTATGCATGCTGAATTTACTGTGAAATATTTTTTCCAAACCGCTGTCACAGCGCATACAGTTCCCACATCTTCGTCAAGACACAAGATAATTCAAATCCACTTGCTTTGCTTACCCTAAGTCTGAAGCTTTTCAACTTCCTTTTTATAACTGAGACGCACATCCAGGTGGTAATAGCAGAGCAATTAATGCCTGGTAATTAACTTGCAGTAGCTGGAACATCCATATCTTAGCAAAGACGAACTTTTATCAATATTTTTATCTTACATGTTGGATTGTAGATGACAGCAGGTGGAGCACAGATATATGTTCCTCTCTGCTACTCCAGCAATGAAGTGGTGCCAAGGGCCCTGGGGCACAATGTCATACATAAAGCATGTCTCCCAAGCCCTCACCTTAACTCTACCCTCCTAGCAAGAGCCAGATTAACTCAGTACTCAGCAACTATTAATGTTTCACTCCTTGTTCCTGGGGGACCAGAACCAAAAGGAACTGGAAAGAAAAGCTATAAGAAAAGAGAAGGAAGTCAGAAAGCAGAACACAGGATGCAGTAGGTAGGGAAGGAGAAGGCTGAAGAATGCATTTGAAAACAAGCCTCGGATAGGATGTGGGAGTAAGAGAATAGTAGGAACCAGCAGGAGAGAGAAAAACAAACAAACATTGCAGCCAGCCTTGCAGGGTCACAGATTATTCTCAAAAAAAAAAAAGTCTCTTTAGTTGTGGCAGCTCTTTGGAAAGGACTGAAAAGGCACGCTGGTGGATGCCTCATTATTGGTCAAGTTAGAATGTCAAAAGGTAAAAAAAGACCCACTGTCACTCACAAAGTATGCACTTTTCACACTGAAGAAGGAACTTTATTAGCATGCAATATATTCCCTGGCTGCTCTATCACACTTTGCTTAGAGCAAATTTTTCAGCCAAGGACTCTTCCTCATCTCCCCCAGGATGCGTTTTTAAAGGAACAGCATCTATCCTTCCACAAAAATATTGTTTGCCATGTGTCCTGGACATGACAGAACAGGGTAGCTGAACCTGGTGGTGCTCTAAATGACCCATCTTCCAAAGCCAAAAACATAGGAGAATGTTTCCAGCCTCCCTTGTCCCACAGGAAAATTTTAAGGTGACCCCTAAATATTAAAAAACCCCAGAAGACAGTTTTTTAAAAAAATAAAATAGAAAGAAATCTTGACACCCAAAAGCCTAGAGATGCTTAGAAAACTGTCTATGATTTTTAATTCCTAGGCCTGCACATGTGATTTTCCACCCAGCAGTTGCTCCAGGCAGTAAACAGCAGACAGGCTGCTAAGCAGAGTGCAAAATAAAGCACTGGCCACACATGGCTCCACATGATTACATGAGAGTCTACTGGGGAATACTGCCGAGAAAGCCACTGAAAAAACCACAAATACCTGTTAAACTAAGACAAAAAAATGCCAGTCATGAGGCTGAGCAACAGAAAAAATTGCATGTTAGCCCTGTCACTGCCTTGCAGGAGTGCTAGCAGTGGGGAATAATCAGCTTGGCCCCTCTGGGAAAATAAAGCAACATTCAGTATTTTATTCTGCCTCACCTTTAGCACAGGGAAAATACATGTCTTAGATATGACAAGCCAACTTGCAGAGAAGATACTTGACAATACTGTTTTTCATGTATATGGGAACTGCTTCTAAAATCTGTTTCTGTGAGGGAGGGATGGGAAGGTAGCACACAAATGTGTGTGCTAATTGCCAAAGTAATTTAAAAATCCACACCTTTTCAGTGTTACTTCTAGACACCAAAATAACACTGAGTTTTAGCTTGCTCCAACTTTTCCATCTTTGCACAAATTTCACACCTCAGTGGTTAAACTGTAATTTCAGCAGGACTGCAAGGTGAGATTGTCCCCTCTTGACCCTCACAGCACATTTGCTGCTATCGGGCTTCTCATCTGACTCCTGCTGCTAATGTTTGCTGAGTAACACCAATCTACATGGGCTCCTATGCAACACTAAAAGCCCTCCAAGTCTCCCAGCACCGGGTCTTCAACGTGTTAGCCAGAGCAACTGCATTCTGGATTGTCAAGAGGCTGAAAGCACCTATATTCAGGATCAAAATCAAAACAAAACCTTTAATAATCAAACATTAGATACAGCCAAAACACTGACAGTTCAACAATTTGATATCCCCCCAGCCCAGTCCCTGCATGTGGTATCTTGGTTTGTGTTATTTCTAGAAATGGGGAGAAATGTCTGGATACCACTGGATAACCTGCATTCATCAGTGAGAGTCTCAGGGGTTTGACATCTATACCCCAGCAGGGAAGGATGCAGACATGATCCAGTTCCCTGCTGAGAGAGGGACCACACTGCCTGCCCCTCTGTGGACAGCACTGCTGCAGTCTGTGTGGCACCTCTTTTCCCCATGGGTCACCACATGTACCATGTCAAAGCACGCAGCCCGAGTAAGTCCCTGAATACATGGTCTTTTGCTGCCATGGGGGTCCTGGTGGTCTCTCCCTCTCCTTACTATTTGTCCTCCCCACAGTATGTGAGCAACAGGTCCAGCACTCAAGACAGGCACATTTCCCCTTGCACTACTGTATAAATAAGCAACAAAGCCTTAGGTATGATGACTGTGTGCAAAATGATAACTGCCTCAGTTAAAAACAAACACCCCAGGAGGATGCTGCTCTGATTTTGTTCTGTAAAGAAAGATGCCTGACTGACATGGTGGAGGATGCTGGAGTACAGAAGGTACTGGTGCATGACATGGTCCCTGCTGCACAGGGAGCTGCCTCTCCTGGATCCCTGCCAGCCTTAGGTGTTCACAGCCACACCAGGCAGCGTTGAGGCAGCAGGAAAGCTCTGTTGGCAACCATGCGGGGGAGGCAGGAGCCTGAAGACTTTCAACAACCAGTCTCAGTTGCAGAGAAGGCAGACAGCAGACTGGAGGAAGAGCAGCCATGGAATTAGTTTTAAACACTTTCATGAATGGTGTGCTGGAAGTAGCCAGCAAGGAGGAATGTAGGAGTGGATGGGCAATAACCAGGTTCTCCCTCTCTCCTTCCTTTAGGTTTGGTGCTGAAGTGTTTCACTGCACAGTCTTTCTGCTTCCCCTTCCCTCCTCCAAGCTGTGAATTGATCAACAGAAGTGCAATGGGATGCTGATAGTTACAACTCTATCTCTCCAGAGATGTGGCTTCATTTCTTTCCTCATGGCTCCCTTTAGAAAAACATTCACTTCCAAGTGTTTAAAACAGAGCATGCAAAAGCAAACATTTATTGAAAAATATAGCAGTGTGTGTTTCTCCCCTTCTGCTTGTACACCCATCAAGATGAGAACACATCGCAGGTACCCATACAACCTTTTCCAACTCTATTATAGAAAAGAGCTTTCACCTACACAAGGAAATCCTGGGAAAGCAGAGCAAGCTAGAGGATGCCCTGAAAGGCCATAAGCTGCTCCCATGGTCTGCATACATATCAACATTTCAGCACCATGTTTCAGCTGTGTTGGCCTGCTTTGCAAACAAATAAAGCCAAGCTTCCCAAGGTGTCTCCCAGTGTTTAATTAAGCATTCACAGGAGGGGCTAATGTGGAGGGCAATCTGGAGAAGTGGAGAGCTGTTTCTCCTACTATCAAAACTGGTAGCAGGAGGAACAGCAGTTAGAAGAAAGAGGATGGAAAGGAGGCAAGCAGATAAGGTCTCTAGAGGACCTTATTATTAAACAGTCTGCAGACCCACAGAGTTTCTCATTGCTGCTCTAGCACAAAACCATGTGACTTACCATATCCTGTAGTACTTTATTTTGCCATTTACATTCCAAAAAGTCTGTTGCTATGCGGTGTAATGACTTCTATCCCATTTCATGGATGGCCAGTAAGTGGGGGTTACGGCAAATACATAAATGAGGACTTGGTCACTCTTAGGAATAGCTGACTGAGGGCTGATGAAGGCTGCTTCCTCCTGAG